AAGTCCTTTAGAGTCATCCGTCTCAAGTCAAGTCAAGTCTCAAGTCATGAATACCAAGTCAAAGTCAAGTCGAGTCTTTTATCAATGTTAGTCAAGCAAGTCTCAAGTACAAAAATATGCGACTCGAGTCCCCCACCTCTGGTTTACAGTACTCCCCTCAATTCTTAAGAAAGACAAGCAGAGGTGAGAAATCAAAGGGCAAGTGACAGAAAAGAGAGGAGAATGACTGGTGGACGTTTTACCTGCAGAAATCCGATGCAGAGCCACAGTGTGGAGGACAGACCGTAGCGCAGTATGATGCTGTATGAGGGGGTGTACTCCTGAGAGGAGCGCTGTAAAATTGGCCAGGGGTCCCTCAGGGCGAGGTTGGAGAACCCTAGCACCTGAACATTACAACATATGTTAGCAATGTAATCAATGAGGAACCGTTAAATAACAAAAACTGAAAGAACTGATTGGATGTGTTGTTGAAAGATGTACTTCAAGAAAGAAGAGCACGGCCATGATCTGAAAAGTGGGGCTGATCTTGCGGATGGTCTGGATCTCGTTCCATTCATTGGCCACAAAGTAGGTCCTCCAGATGCTGACAGGAGAGGGGTCACGTTTCGGCTCACCAGCAGCTGAAACAACAGAGAATATGTTGAATGGAATAAAATAAAAAATAGAATATGATTTCTTGTTAAGACTTTAAGATATAATCTCAATTTGTTCGAACCTTGAACAGTTCTGTTAGCTTTGCATCGTGGCCTCTCCCAGTCAATAAAGAAAACATCAATGGACACCTGCATGAACAGCTTGTGGAGAAACTGGACAGCCTGGATATAAATACACAAAACAATATTTTTTATTTCCTTACAGAGGCACACCATCTAGCTTTCAAAAAGACACAAGTTGACATATGTTTAGTAAGTGACTAACCTTGAGAGCAAAGGCACAACCAACGTAGGTCACAAACTGTTCCTCCTGAGCAGGTAGTGGTAAGAGCACTGATACAAACTGTTGAGCCTAAACACAAACACAGAGACAAATGAATCCAGGGTATATGCAGGAATCCTGAAGTCAAATGTAATACCTTTTAAGACCTTTATTAAGACCCTTTCCATACATTTTAAGACCTCATCGCTACTTCGAGTTTTAACCGGTTACATTGGCGTTACACTTTACCTCACATTTACTATATACAGTATTGATTGTCCTTCCTCCTTATCTTCCAACCATTTGGACGCAGACTTGCATTTCCCCATAACGATGTTTAACAACCAGCGTAAACGCGCGCTATCAAGCAGTGAGCGTGCGATGTCCTGTTCAGATGACGTCAAATCCAACGGGATGCCATAAATAAACTACACAGAATCACACTACACACCTATCTAATGATTACATTCAGGCAGACAGTAGAATACAACCTCTTTGGACAATTTGTATACTTATTGAAAACAAGCTACAAAATGTAATACCTTGGAAAATGCCGTTTAATACTTTTTTAATAGCCTTAATTTTCGCTAAATTGATTTATCAACTTTTAATACTTTTTAAGACCACGTGGACACCCTGGAATCACAGCAGTCAAACAATCTCACGTAAATCTATGCATTGAAAATGATGTTTAGAAACAAAGGGTAAAGGAGGAAAAATACTTGCCTTTAACGTCTAAAAGTCGCAAAGAGGGGGAAATAGAGAAGGAAGTCCATGCAAAAACAAGAGAAACACAAATTGTGTGTGGAAAATAAATAAAGTTTAGAGAAGATCTCAGAGAAGAATTAAGATACTTGTATAAACTCAACAAAAGAAAGTATCAATCCTATAAAAGAAAGCCCCCTAAGGACTTATACTAACCTTGTAAAAGATGAGCCAGTAAAGCCCGGTCCCCACGGTGACGGCAAAGAAAACATTGGCCAGATCTCCGGCATAAAAAATCAAAAACTTAAGCAGAGTCTGAGGGAGAAGGAGGGAGAGGCATACATTACATAAGTCGAGGCTAAAAACACTACTTTTTAGAGCTGCTTACCAACAAGCCTTTTAACTTGTTTTAGCACCTACCGTATTTACAATGTCGTTTTTAAACTATTTTGTATCTCATTAATGCATTGTTTTTATGAATCTGTTATTCCATTATGTTTATTTATTGTGTTCCTCTCACTTTGAATTGCCTCTGCGTCTGAAATGTGCTATATAAATAAACGTACCTTACCAAGCTTTACACTAAAGTGTGGATTGACAAGGACATGTATTTGTGATGACCTTTTCTTGTTTGAATATAGAACAGAAAATACACTACAAACCAAGACATAACAGCTGTACTGCACACAAAGCGTTGAAACAGAAACACAATTAAATAAATTGAGAAATATGATACAGTTACAGTAAGTGGAAATAAAAGATGGGGAAATACAGTTCCCATTACCACTAACTTTTAAAGCTGGCCTGCCCCAGTTCTGATATTCCTGGGCATGGAAGAGTGTGGGGTGGGATTAAAAGGGTTATGACTTTTCAAAGATGCAGTACCTCTGCATCAATGAGCGGAGAGGCGATCCTCCTCTTCCAGCTAACTGTCTTCAGCAGAGAGTAGATAAGGGCCACACCAGCCATCACACCGATAGCGGTCTGTGCATACACAAAACCATCAGAGACACAGTTCATACCATAACACATACTGTACACAAGAGCTTCTCCTTGTCATATTAGGCCATTTAACAATACGTGTTTGTACTCACATCTGTCTTTATGCGAGCCTCATTCTGATCCATCTCATACTCCACAGCAAAAGTTGTCTACAAACAGAATAATTTATTCAACATATTAAACAAAGGCTTGTTTTGGAGATTTAGTAGCAAAAACACAGAGAAATACAGCCGTGACCTTTGAGGGACCTATTGTTCTAGCATAGTACAGCAGTGTGCCAGCCGGGTAGCTGTCTTGGAGCATATCAGCAAGGACAGAACTCTATTTATCAGAATGCACCTTCAGAGTTTCACATAAGAGAAGATTAGTCCGTGTGGCCACATCATCTCTTGTATTAATAACTGCTTGTACGAAGTAGCTGTATCAGAAGACAATCAAAATGTCCACCATATGAGACAAATTAAGAGACAGCAACACGCAAAAAAAAGAAATTAGGATTGAAAACAGCAGCTATAGTTTGTGTGTGTTGACTCACAG